TATCCGACAGCGCAGCCTCAGAGACCCCTTGGTTCAGATGCACCCTACCTTCCCTGTGGCCAACCACATCACCATCGGCCCCTTGTGAGGAGACCGTGACCTCCTTTTCCTTGTGCACTCGACGCCTTTTAAAGACTTGTGCCATGGGGCAATCCATCCCACTATCCATCTCCATCATTCCTTGCCCATGAAAAGCCTCGTTGAGGGATCGAGCCACCCCCATACGCTTGGATGGCATCGAAGCCGTATCATCCTGTTAAGGTTCGTCATCAAACAAACCTAGCCGCTTGCCTTTTAAATGATTCTCTGCCCAGATACAATACACATCCTTCATTATCATTTTCCACCGTCCATATTGTTCAACTTCAATAGCCCCTGAGGCCTTGACACTGCATGCAGCACCCACATGGTCCAGTCGCCCACAGTATAAGCAGAAATACGGGAGTCGCTCATATTCAATTTCATACTATTTAGCTGGTTCATCTGTTGACAAACGCAGTGTGACACACCGTTTCAGCGGCTTATTGATTTTCAAACCCACCTTAATACGTAGAAAGCTCCCCAAGCAGTCTCCATTTAAGCCACGATCCACCATGTAGAACGTACCCAAAAAACTACCTAGTTTTTCTCCCATGGCCGGGGTCAGAAAAATCGACGGAATACGGCACACGCGCACCCAAAAACTTTGCGAATCCACCGAAACGGACATAGGATCCACTTCACCATCAATGCTCATCAATAGCAACAACGCCCTATCAAAAGTCCAAGGGGAGCCCCTCATCACCTTCTTCCTATCGAAATCTATTTTGAAAGAAGACAGGAACCCCTTGGGGTCGTCCAGAGACACCGCAGTGAACTCCTCCCTGGTATGCCAAATCCTCTTCAACGTGCCAAATAAAGCCTCCTTATGAAACGCCTTTGAAGTGAGCAATTTCCCAACAAGCAAGAACCGTCCAGCCTTCATGTTTCCCAGATCCTCTAACCTGACAACCTCCACTAATTCATATTCTGAAATTGCCAAGGAAGAGGTGAGACCAGATACCAAATCATCAACAGCCGCCATCATCCACTCGATGCTTCCCTCTGTAAGCCGAAGACAACACCCAAAACCCGCTTGAACAATAGTGCCGCCGTATTTCACACACCACAAGCAATCACCTAGAAACCCTAACCAACCTGAATTGGAGACTGGCGGCGCTAAAACCCTAACCTTGGAGGAAGGGACTCGTATAATTGTTGTGGACTTAACAGTTACAATTGCAGGAGTTAATTGTTAAGTTCCATTAAGCTTCTTTTTTTATCTTTTAAATTATTATGTTTGACAAAAAGAAAATAATCATTAAAGGGTATTTTAGGAATAATGGTGGGTGGAAAGATAAGATTGTGTTTTTTCAAATTTACATGGTGGATGGGAAAAGAATGCCACTATTTCCACCCACCTGTCCTATTTTCCTACCCACCTTATCTTCTCACCCACCATGTAAATTTGAAAGAAAACACAATCCTACCTTTCCACCCACCATTATTCCTAAAATACCCTTTAATTATTAATTCAAAGCAAATTCTTTCAAAAACCCAACTTATATCCATTTTACTTCCTGGCCCGTATTAAGGGAAACCCCCCTTTCTTTCCTCCAAGACGATTGTGATTCTTTCAAGAGTTCATCCCTCTTTCTCATCCGGGAGGAAGTGACGCATGGGCTTTGTGATGAGAGGGGTTGTGTGCGGTAGAAGAGAGGATTTGAGTATTTATTTTCTTTTAGGTCTTGTTTAATTTCTTATTTATTTATTTTAATACATATGTGGTTGAAGAACATGAAGTTAAAGCATGGGTTCGAATGCTTATGGTCCCCAGGCTCCTATCATGTTGATCTCCCTTAATCAAATAATACCAATCGCTTGTTGTTTGAAGCAAATAGACGAAAATTAAACAACTTCATGAAATAGAATTTCATGAAATCTTAAAAGGACAATAGGAGCCTTTGAAGGGAAAATTAATTTTGCCCACATTGTTTCGCAGAGAAAATGATAGTACCTTTGAGAGAAATCAGATTTATGATGGAAAAATAGTACAACTTTGGGAAGCTTTTAGAAAACAAAGAGAATGGCTAGATGAGTAAGAAGAAGTTGTGTGCAATGTGCGGGTCAAGAATTTAAGTTAATAAAAGGCTCTATGTATTGTGAGATTAATCCAATGGCTGGTATAAAATGGTTGCTCACACTTAGGTGAGGGAGATTAGTTTTGTCCCTATGTCCTTATAAGTCATTTTATAAATGGGTAAATTTGTCTTTAAAATTTTGAAGATAAGGTGGGTGAGAAAATAGGACAGATAAGTGGAAATAGCAGCACTCATGGAAAAATAAGGTGGGTGGAGAAATAGGATAGGGGGTGGAAATAACAGCACTCTTAATAAAAAATGTATTAATAATCTTTAAAAAGTAGATAGCTTAAAAGGTGAAGCATTCCCAATATATATAAGGGTTTGGATTAGTTTAATACAATCTGGAGTGGGGCCTACAAGGGGTGTCCCTCAATGGAAGTTCTCTGTATATATATATGGAATGTAACATCCACAAACAAGTATTAAAGCAACTATATAATTTAATAGTCTAAACAAATAATTTAACTTTATAATATCTTCTAGAATTGAAATCGCTTCATCCAAATAACCTTTAAAATGTAAAGTATCTTTGAAATTTATTATTCGCGTATAATTTTATATGCCTTTTAGTTTATGAATGAAACCTTATTCTTAAAAATGTAAACATTTCATAAGATGGTATTTAATTCCCACCAACATACAAGACAAATTGACAAGATTGTTTCGTAGCCTCCAAAGCGCAGCACCAAGCAGGAAATTTCCGAGATATAATTAAGGAAAAGTAATAAATATTTAGCGTATAATAGAAAATGAAAATGACATAATTTTGTAAACATTGTTGAATAAAACAAATTATTCCATATCTATAAATTAACTTATAAGTTACAATGACCAATAATCAAAATATATATAACTAGAATACAAAACACATGAAAGTTCTCCGCTATCTCCTTGCACCTACTTCCACTCGTCATGCATACATGACAATGACATGATTGAAAATTCAAATCCCACCTCAGGCCTCGTCATTTCTACAATTTCCACATCACAACCTGCACCAAAAAAAACAAAAAACAAAAAACAAAACCATTAAAAAATAAATCATCACCCTCCATATGGAGATAAATTTAAGAAATGAATCTGCTGTTGGAACTCAATGTTGATTGATTTAGCCGTTGAATTGGCGATGGCTCGGAAAGTTGTTTGGGACAAGACTACGGTGGGGACAGAAGCCGACGGCTCAGAATTAACAGAGCCAGCATAATCCACCATTCTGATTTAAAAGGTCTCGTCGAGAATACACGTCTCAAGATTTTCCCCAATTTATTAACCCTAACAGCATAATATACTCTAACTCGTTGAGTTAGTGTGGGGTGCTGCCAAAAAATAAAAATAAAAACTACACTTAACAGAAGATAAATAGAATGTCTATAAATTATAAATTTTGGTTATCAATGACCAAATTGAATTTTCGGGTAAAACTCAGTGACCGAAAAAAGTATTTAACCCTTTTAAATTTCTTTAATTAGATATAACAACTGAGATTGAATCTACGCAATTTCAGTCGTCAAAAATACATCAAAGTGCTGAAAATGAAATCCAACGGCCAAGTAATATTATTAAATAATCAAAATTAGATCCAACTCCAAAAATCATCAAACTCTATATATCTCCATTGATATGTTAAATAATCTATTTTACATATTTTTACATTAAATGAAATTATGTTTCTGGAATTTCAATTTTTTAAGTTAAATTTTTCGGAAAAATAAATCATGAAGTAAAAAAAAAAAAAAAAAAGGGTTTAAGTCATTTTTAAACAATTTACTAAAGTTACAGACTCAAAATTTGAGTTTATGGTGCGTGGTTAGAGAAAACAATTTATTTGAGTCTAGCCAATACATGAATAGTTGTATTTTGGAGAGTTAAATTTTGAGTTTAGGTGCGAGCTGTGCGTGCGCTCAACCAAGTTCGATACCCGCTGATAGCAATCCCATGTTGGTGGGTAATTTAGAAAATGTCACATGTAATTCCATAGGGGGTGCAAAAGGGTACGGCAGCGATGCCAAGAGTTTTTCAATCAAAAGAGTCCTTGTGGATCAATATGCTTGATCCTTGAATTACTTGGATTTTTTTGGCGTTAGACTAAACAGGAAATAATATAAAATTACGTGGATATTTTTGTGGATCAATATGCTTGATCCTTAAATGAGGCCACACTAACGCCCTCTGTCCGTTTGTAAACTGTTATCGTTAGTTTGGTGCTAGTGATGAATGAATTTTCTATTTGATAAAAAAAAAAAAAAAAAAGTTGGGAACTTGCTTGGAAGTTTATAATTACGTGTTGAGCTCTTTCTTGGGGAGTTCCTCATTTCTTCTTCGGTTTCTTGCCTTGACTTTTGAGAATTTACATTTTATGGATTGTGCTATGATGTTCACATCCATTGAACTTACTTTAATAGCAGTGTACTAATAGTTTTTTTTTTCTTTCTTCAAATTTCTTTTTTTGGGTCACATATGAATCTTCCGAATATAATAAGTTTAATCATTGCAGGTCATTCATGAAGGTCATCAGAGAGCAACAAAAAGATACAAATTTAAGAAAAAAAATAATAAAATAAAATAAAAAACTATTACTTGGAAGGTAGGTAAGGTATACATATAAAAAAACACCAACAAAATAAGAAAACAGCTTATATGAAAAATAAAATAAAATTAGTGAATTATCATTTCTGGAAATAGAGAAGGAAGCTAATCTGTATATAAGGGGAAACAATTAAAGTGGACTGCTTCAAGATGTCATGTAAATATCTTCCTCTCTAGAAAATAAAACCAAAGTTGGGAACTTGCTTGGACAGTATATTTCATGTTTTTCTTGTTGACCTTTAATGGTCATTGGACGTGTTCAGCTCTTTTTTGGGGACTCCCTCGTTTCTTCTTCTGTGTATTTTGGCCCTGTTTTGTGTGGAAACTGTTTTGGCACCACCACATGTAAATTTCCTTTTTCCTCTTGAGAGCCTACCAACCGATTCTACCATCGGAGACTCTACAATTTACATAAGAAAAGACTCACCACCCCAAAAAACAACTAAAAAAGAAACCGTGTTGTTTCTCTCTCTCTTCCATTATTTCCTCTCCTTCGTATATCCCACGCATCCCTCCTCTTTTCATCTGTTCCTCCAACTCTCGGGTGAATATTGCATTTTTTTTTTCATTTTTTGCTGACAGTTAACTTCGCATCTTGTTTTTGGTTGGATTGGTTTGTTTTGCTGCCAATTCTCTGGCACGTGAATCGTGATTGTGGTGCTGTTCCGCTGAGCTGTTGTCCGAGTTGCTGCGTTTCCATTTCATTAATCTCTATTTTGTTTCGCTGGGTATTTGCTTTCTTCCCTTCTTCTCTTTTGCTTAATACGTTTTCAATTACCCAAAAGAAAAACTAAAGCTACCATTTTCATTTTATGTATTTCCTGAGTGTTTGCCGAACCAGATTTCCAGGAACTGTCATTTTCCCATGGCCTTGAGCACCCAAAGAGCCTCTACATCTCGTACTTCAGCTGAATGGGCTCCTCCCCATTGGAAGCATGATGTGTTTTTGAGTTTCAGGGGTGAAGACACTCGCAGCGGTTTTCTATCCCATTTATACCATGAACTGCAGTACTGGCAAGCAATTAAAACTTTCAAGGACGACCGAGACCTTGAAATAGGAGCAAGTATTTCTCCGGAGTTGTTGACCGCAATCGAACAATCACATCTTGCCATCATTGTTCTCTCTCCAAATTACGCTTCTTCCACCTGGTGCTTGGATGAACTTTCCAAGATTCTTGAATGCATGCAAGACACCATGAGAATTCTGCCAATCTTTTATCACGTGGATCCTTCTGATGTACGAAACCAAAGGGGTAGTTTTGCGAAAGCTTTCACTACGCATGAAGAAAAGTTCAGTGAAGATGTAGACAAGGTGAAGCGGTGGAGAGATGCTTTAAAAGAAGTTGCCAATCTCTCTGGGTGTGATTCAAAGAATTATCCGTAAGCATGCATGGATTAACAACTTGCTTGTTTCTTAACAAGAGCTCTACTTGGATGTTACGTTTCAGTTCTTGCCTTAATCAATAACCTTGGATGTTATATTTATGAATTAATGGTTATTTTAATTTTCTTCCTTGTAGGTCGGAAGCAGAGCTTATTAAACACATTGTCAAATATGTGTTTAGGAAAGTGCATCCAACGTTCATGTTGTCAGGTTCTCTAGACAAGTTAGTCGGGATTGATTCTGCACTTGAGCAACTACATTTGCAATTAGCTCCCAAAGATAATGATGTTCGCTTTATAGGGATATGGGGGATGGGCGGGGTAGGCAAAACAACCCTTGCTAAGCTAGTTTTCGAGAGAATTTCCCATCATTTTGAACTCAGCTGGTTTCTATCTAATGTGAGAGAGGTTTCTGGAAAACAAGGTGATCTAGTTAATCTACAAAGACAGATTCTTTCCCCAATCTTGAAAGAAAATCTTGCCCATGTTTGGGATGAAGGAGCCGGAACCTTTTTCATTCAGAAACATTTACGCAATAAAAAGGTTCTTCTCATCCTTGATGACGTGCATCAATTAAACCAACTTAAAATACTGGTTGCAAAGAAAGATTGGTTTGGTGTGGGGAGTAGAATTATCGTCACAACTAGGGATGAGCGTCTACTAGTTGAGCATGGTATAGCGATACAATATAAGGTTGAGGTATTAAAGGATGATGAAGCTCTTGAGCTCTTTAGTCAAAATGCCTTTAAGAAAAATCAGCCTGAAGAAGGTTTTCTGGAACTCTCTAGGTGTTTCGTACATTATGCCAAAGGTCTTCCATTAGCTCTGACAACATTGGGATCTTTTTTATATGCGAGGGGTCAAGATACATGGAAAAGTACGTTGGATAATCTAGGGAAAATTCATAATCCAACAATTTTTCACTCACTCAAAGTAAGTTATGACGGACTAGAAGAGATAGACAAGAATATTGTTCTCGATGTTGCATGTTTCCATAAAGGGAAGGATAAAGAGAAAGTAATTGAAATACTAGACAGTATCTATAATATTTCAAGTCGTATTAGGATAGATGTTCTCATTGAGAAATCTCTCTTAACTATTGAGAAACTCCGCTTTCGTAGCAACATTGTTGATATGCATGAATTGATACAAGAAATGGCAAGGGAAATTGTTCATTTAGAGTCTCCCAAAGAGCCTTGTCAACGCAGCCGTTTGTGGCATTGTGATGACATTTCTCATGTATTCATGCACAATTCGGTAAGAAGTTATGTAGAAATACTAAGTTTTGAAGAAAATAAATGTAATTTATTTTAACAAGATATATTAGACTTGAATGTGCAATTACCTTTTCATTTTTTTTAATTAATTATTAGGGAACCGGAGCAATTGAAGCCATTGTCTTGCATTTGCCGAAATTAGAAGAGGTGCATTGGAATACTGAAGCCTTCTCTAAGATGCACGGATTAAGGCTTCTTGAATTTGGTAATGTGATCGTTTCTTCAGGCCCCAAAGATCTTCCAAATTCCTTAAGAATTATCCATTGGAGTTGGTACCCTTCTAAATCACTCCCATCAAGTTTCGAACCACCTTTCCTTGTTGAACTAGACATGAGTGATAGCGAACTTTCCCATCTTTGGGATGGAGCAAAGGTGAGAGATTATTGAAATTAGAATTCTTTTATATATACATAATTTGGATATAATTGTAACTTGCTCAACTAAGTAAGGGTTTATTTTAAATTATTATTTTACAATTTTTATGTACTGTACAGGTCTTGCCAAAGTTGAAATTTATGGACCTTAGTTACTCTTATCAATTGACGAGTACCCCAGATTTCACAGGCATTCCAAATCTTGAGATTTTGTGCCTAGCATTTTGTTCGGGTTTAGTTGAGCTTCACCCCTCTGTTGCAGCTCTAAAAAAGCTGAAAGATTTGCAACTTGTGGGGTGTACAGATCTTAACAGTCTCCCAAGTGTGGTGGAAATGGATTCTCTTGAAAAGTTTAGTCTCTCTGGCTGCTCAAAGGTGAAAAACGTTAGAAGATTTGTGGAACAGCTGAATGATAAATTGGATTCTCTTTCTTTATTTGGGTTTCTCTTTGTGGAACAGCAAATACGTCCATCAATTGAACACCTTGTCGGCCTTAAAGAGCTGGATTTGCGCGGATGCACAAAAATTAACAAAATGGTGGTGTCTTCTCTAAATCGTTTCACGTACTTGGAAGACTTAAGTTTGAATTATTGTAATATTGGTGAAGGAGCCATCCTTGATGATATTGGCTGCTTGTCTTCTTTAAAATACTTGCATCTTTGTGGAAACGATTTCGTTAGCCTTCCCTCAAGCATTAGATTCCTTTCTAAGCTTGTGTTTCTTGGATTGGCATGGTGCAAAGGGCTTGAGCGATTGCCAGATCTTCCGCCAAATATAGAAATTGTAGACGTAGACGATTGTAGTTCCTTAAGAAGGTTGCCAGGAGCCAATTTGTATGATTTTAGGTTGAGTTGTCTAAATTGCTTCAAATTGGTTGAAGAAAAAGACTGGATTAATGCAATATTTGAAATGATAAGGACAGCGGCCATTGAGGTATTTACTCTCTCGTTGAATATTATAGTTTTCTTTCACTTTTTATTTTGGTGAAAGGAATATAGTTTTCTTTTCTATAATAAATAAATAATTTCGACCAAAAAAAATAATGGTAATGGTAATTATTTTGGTACAGGGAATGCTCTTAAAAAATAATGGTATTGTATGCCCTGTATTTGGAATTCTAGATTGGTTCGGTAATCCAAGTGTGGGAGATTCAATAACTGTGGAGCTGCCTCTCCCTCCACACCCATCAAATAGCGACTGGGTTGGGGTTGCTTTCTGTGTTGTTTTTCACGGTGAATGTTCCGCATCCCCTATTGGATATGGGTATTTCAAAATAGAAGTTCGATCATCGCAGAGATATTTGGATGAGCCTCAATCCTTTCGAGCCGGGAATCTTCTGTCAGAACACCTTTTGGTTTTTTATTTGCCTCGCGATCATCCAAGCCTCACGGATGCCTCAACCAGTCATCGGTTTTCGTTCGAAACGCATTATTCTTCAATTAAAGATTTGGAAGAACTCAAAACAAGCTCGATTATAAAGGAATGTAGGGCTCGGTTGGTGTACAAGAGAGATTTGGAAGAATTCAGCCGTTTGAGGTACGGTGACGAGGCAGGTCCAATTGGTAGTAGTGGAAGTGGTAGCTCTGATGAGGACGATGAACCAGTCGCCAAAAGATTGAAGAAAGTCTAAATTATTTTGTGCATGGGGCAATCATTCAATGAGGTCTCAAGATAATACTTGAAAAGCTAATGACGATGATGGTCAATCCTCAGAATTCATCTCAGTATGTCACCTTTTATTTTTTTTTTTTTTTTAGGTACTGTTTAATTTGCTCTGACTGACTTAAGGACACTATCATCTCTCATCTATCATTGGTGGCATTCACAAAGTTTCAAATTTGCTTGCATCATATTTAGTTCTTATATTAGGTGGGAGGAGAGAGTAATTCTCTTGTTACATCTTGTTTGTATAGTTTGCAGGATATGCTGTAATTTTGTGTTCCTCTAATTTTGTGCTATTTCAATTGCTGTGTCAGATAATGTACCGAAAACAGACAAGTAAGGTGTCTGTATGCCATGAAAATGCACTCTCTGAATGAACATTTGCAGATGTTGCCCAACTGAAGCATTTAGAACTGCACACTGCTGAATGAAAATGCACACTCTTGTTGTGCTTAAATAAAATTGTTTCTGCATACTGTTAATGTTGTGCTCTAAGAATATAATCTCACTAAGTAGTTTTGTTCCGAAAATGGACTAAGCCAGCATATAGCTACTTTTATCAATGTGTTAATTAAAAATGATAATTTCTCCTATGTTGCAAACAGAAAACAACAGAACAAATCCTAAAATGTATATATGCTATAGATTTACAAAACTAACTTGTGCTCTGCTTCCAGGACTTCATTTTTCCCTAAATTTTTTGCCCTTTTTCTATGTTCGAGATATTTTCTGAGTGGATATGACTTGGATTAACTTGTTCATTTCAATGTGTTAGAATATTTACTTCCTATAGGCCTTGAGTACAAGAACATTTTCAGAGCAACCTTTCAATGCTGTGCTATCAAACTTTTGCTATAGTGAAATAATGTGTGGAAAATGTTAGTATAGTTCTGAGTCTTCTGATCATAGTTACCCAAATCACTCACCCCTCCTTACGAATTTCGAACTGGATCGCACGTACTGAATCATGGTACGTTAGTGTTCTGGAACGATGCATTTAGCTAACCAAAACTCAAAAGGATTAGAACAATACATGAGCGACCTTGCTGCCCAAACTCGATTGGTTGTTCCAATCATCAACTTAATAGGGTGGTGGGAGAGCGATAGAGGGAGCCATGAAAAGAGAGAACCATGGAGAGAAAGCGATGGAAAGAGAGAGCCATGGAAATAGAGAACAATGTGTTAGAATATTTAGGCCTCGAGTAAATGAACATTTTCAGAGCAGCCGTTCAATGCTGTGCTACCAAACTGTTGCTATACTGAATTAATGTGTGGAAAATGTTAGTATTGTTCTGGGTCTTCTGACCAAAAGAAAAAAAAGGGGAAAATAGTAAATAATGACGAAAGAATGTCTGTGAAAAATCTAGGAGAAAAGGATGAAAGAATAAGAGGCAGAGAGAATTGTAATTATTGTACGTATATTTCCTCTGTTTCCACTATATTGAAATGAGTATAGTATTTCCTATTATATACAGCTTCGGTAGATTTCTCTAGAGCTAAGGTTATTTACAAGGAATATGGAGATATGGACAAGTGTAGGCCTGCTATTGATTCAGCTGTTTTCCTTGGAGTTTCTAAAGGAATGTGAGTGAAGGAAATTTGCTGCATTATTTGGCTTGCTCATTGCTGCTTTACGATTATAGCTGCTTTTGGATTTTTCAGCAGGCGTGTAAATTTGCATCTTTGCTGTTATTTAAATTTATTTCGATAGAAAATCAGGAAGGGAAAGGAGAGGTGGTTAGTTCATAAGGGAAGAGAGAATAACAGAGAAGGAGTGGCAAAAGGAAATGTGAGTTTTAGCTTTACAACAAAATTAGCAGAAGTGGAGCAATTAACATAATTAAATTTTGAAAGGTGCTGGAGATAGCCTAATGTGGTTAAGTAAAATCAGCTTATTTTCATTGCTAATTGCTTATGTTGTATCTTTTATAATGATTTTCCTTTCTTAATTTCATTTCAGTTCTCTTGGAAAAACAGTTGGCATTATCGGCTTGGGAAGAATTGGCAAAGCCAGAGTTGAAGTACTAGGAATACTATCCAAGTTCCATGGAGTTAGTTGGTTGTGTGAACTCTGATCACTTCTGAGGAGACCAACGACATTTCCTTTTACTTGAAATTTCCCCAAAAAACGGAACCTTTCCTTGAAATTTCCTTTTACTTTTTTGGTGGAAAACATTAGTCCTTTCACTTTGTAAAACACTTTCATGCTTTTCCTTTCCTTTTTTTGTTTTTTTTTCACCTTGACCCTTATCCTGAGTATTGGACGTGTTGAGCTCTTTCTTGGGGAGTTCCTCATTTCTTCTTCGGTTTCTTGCCTTGACTTTTGAGTCTCTTTCCTATGGAAGTTGTTTTGGCATCACACGTAATGTAAATTTCCTTTTTTTCCTCTTGAGAGTTTACATTTTATGGATTGTGCTATGATGTTCATATCCATTCAACTCACTCTAGTAGCCATTCAACTTATCTGTGGTTTCAATAATTGCAGTGTCTTTTTTACATATGATCTGAAGCAGTGCCTTTGTTTTTTTCTTCCTTTAAATTTATTTTTTGGGGTCACATATGAATCTTCCGAATATGATAAGTTTAATCATTGCAGATCATTCATGAAGGTCATCAGAAAGCAATAAAAAGATAAAACTTTAAGAAAAAAATAATAAAATAAAATAAAAAACTATTACTTGGAAGGTAGTTAGGTATATATATATACAGTCCCCTTCTATTGAGTGATCCCTCAAATAATTTTATTTGAGGGATGCCCTTTAGGGTACCCTACAATTTTTTTTCCAATGATCAAAACTATCTATTTTTTATGTCTTCATTCATAGATCATCCTTACAAAAAATTAGACAAATCGGAAACCGTTTCGACATCCAATTGTGTCCTACAAAATCAATGAACACGGTGCTTCAAGAAAATACTAAAATTTCAATAACTCAATTGCATGGTCAAAAGATATCGGATTCAAGTGATTTTTTGTAGAGATGATCTTTGAATGTGTATCTACAAAATAGACGGTTTGGATTAGTGAAATACAATCCGGAGTGGGCCCTACAAATTATCATTTCTGGAAACAGAGAAGGAACTTGTTTGGACCATATCGGGAACACAATTAAAGTGAATTGCTTCAAGATGTCATGTAAATATCTTCCTCTCTAGAAAAATAAATACAAATTTATAAATAAAACCAAAGTTGGGAACTTGCTTGGACCAGATCACTTTTGCCTTGAAATTTCATTTCACTTTGGCAATATATTTCACGTTTTTCCTTCCTTTCTTTTTTTTTCCTTTTGTTGACGCTCAAAAATGGTTCGGCACTTTTGAGGCCAACTTAGTGATGATGTGTGATTGATGATGAGTGAAGGTCCTCACCTTCACCAAGCGTGTGAGGATTTGAGCAAGCGATAAATATACAAAAGAGGATTAATTACATTTTAGTACCCTGAACTTACATAGTTAAGGTATGTTAGTCCCTACCTTTTCAATTTTAACAATCATATACCCCGGTCTTTTAAATTTGTTACAATGTGGCTCCACCGTTAGGATTTCCGTTAAATCTCTTTGTTAATTGCATACGTGGCACTGTGGATCCCACATTTTTCAAAAATTTTAATTTTAAATTGATTAAAATATGAATAAATTTTTAATGTTTCATTATTGATCGTTTGTTTGTTGTATTGAATCGTTCTTAATAATTAATTAGAGTTTTCTTTCTTTCATGGTTTCATTAGTGAATTATAGTTAATAAGTAGAGATCTTAAAAGGTGAAACATCAATAATAATAAAAATAACTGTTTTATAGATAGTGTGGTTGGACTCCAATCTGCCTTTTTTTGTACACATGTAAATATTAGCGCAACTAGACAATTAGGATACATGAATTGTAATAATCAAAACAAACAATTTAACTTTATAATGTCATCTTAATTTCTAGAATATTAGAAATCGCTTCATCCAATTAAACCTTTTATAATGTTTTTGAAATCTATTATTCGCGTATAATACGGATAGTAACTACCTACCAAAGTATGAAGTTTGGTACACATTTATACTTTTCTTGGGTAAAAAATGAAATCATTCACCCTCTGACAATGTTTCCAATTTGGTCACCGCGATGCGGTATTCCATCTCTCTCCCTCTCTCCCATTATTTACTTTATACAGAGCCTTCTCTCTCTCTCTTTTTCATATGAAATTGACATGGGTAAGCTCTTTCTTGAGGATTTCCTCGCTTCTTTAGTTTTTTGTCCTGTCTTTTGAGTCTCTTTCCTGTGCAAATTGTTTTGCCACCACATGGAAAATTTCATTTTTTTACTTGTGCTATGATGTTAATTAGGTGGCTTTGTCTTCGGATTGAATAAACATCGGTAAAATAACAACTTTTTAAAACCATATAAAACTAACGCATATAAATACCTAGCATCCAACTGTTAAAGTGGTTAAGTGAGATGCCAGGTGTCAAAAAATAATGTAGGGACAGGGAGGGACACACAAAAACATGGACAGAGAATCTGAACTCTGCATATGGCTACCTCAACCAATGAGTTAATTAGCACTGATAGTTTCTCAACTCTCCCATGTTGCTAACAAAACTGCACAATAAATCCTAATGTATATGTCATAGTTTTAACTTGTGCTCTGCTTCTAAGGGATCATTTTTACCTTGTGCATTTGCCTCTTCTTTAGTTGTTTTTTATACTAAGCAATTATGTGTTCAATTCCCTCTGCATCAGTAAATACTAGACTGAAAGTTGATGACATAAATTTCTTAGGTTTCAGGAAAAAAAGAAAGCCAGGGACACAATCACTTTTTCTGAGAAGAAAGAGAACGCATCCCAGCAACGAAGTTTCACTGATGTGTTGGTGGAAAACATTAGTCCTTTCACCATTAAATATGGCCTAACTCACAAATTAATCCCTATTAACTAACTACACAATTGCATGTGGAAAAAGCAAAACAAAAAACAGGATTTTCTCATAAATAAAAAGTTGGGAACTTGCTTGGAAATTTATAAGTACCTTGGCACCCGATCACTTTGTTGAGAAACGAAATTTCCTTGAAACTTCCTTCAACTTTTTTGGCGGAAAACAGTTGTCATTTCACTTTTGTAGTACTACATTGGCTCTCTCCCAGACCCAATGGACCACACACAGAAAAAAGTAGAAAGCGTGTTCACTACCTCTCTCGGTTTTTTGGGGTGGGTTTTTGGTTGGATTGGTTCTTGTGGTTGTTTTCTGGCCAATTCTCTGGCTTTGTGATTTGTTAATTTGTTGTTCTGCTGAGCTATTGTTCGAGTTGGTGTGTTTCCCTTTCATTGCTGGGTATTTGCTTTCTGCCCTTCTTCTCTTCTGCTTAATACGTTTTCAATTACCAAAAGAAAAATTAAAGCTGCCATGTTTTTTTTTTTTCATTGATCATTTTCTCTTTACATGTTTACTGAGTGTTTGCAGAACCAGATTTCCAGGAACTGTTTTCTCCCATGGCCTTGAGCACCCAAAGAGCTTCTACATCTCGTACTTCAGCTGAATGGGCTCCTCCTCGATGGAAGCATGATGTTTTTCTGAGTTTCAGGGGCGAAGACACTCGCAGGGGTTTTATCTCTCATTTAGACCGTGCATTGGCGTACTGGCAAGCAATGAGAACTTTCAAGGACGATCGAGAACTTGAAGTAGGAGCAACTATTTCTCTGGAGCTGTTGACCGCAATCAAAGAATCATATCTTGCCATCATTGTTCTGTCCCCAAATTACGCTTCTTCCACTTGGTGCTTGAATGAACTCTCAGAGATTCTTGAATGCATAAAAGACACCAAGAGAATTCTGCCAATCTTTTATGACGTGGATCCTTCCGATGTGCGAAACCAAAGGGGGAGTTTTGCGGAAGCTTTCACTAAGCACGAAGAAAGGTTTAGTGGAGATGCAGAGAAGCTGAATCGGTGGAGAGCCGCTTTAAGAAAAGTTGCCAATCTCACTGGCTTAGATTCAAAAACTTATAAGTAAGTATGCGTCCATGAACAACTTGTGTGTGTCTTAACAAGAGCCCTACTTGGATGTTACATTTCAATTCTTCCTTTAATACAACAAACAACCTTGGATGTTATATTTATGGATTAATGGTTATTTTTAATACTTTGTAGGTCAGAAGCAGAGCTTGTCGATGACATTGTCAAACGTGTGTGGAAGAAAGTGAATCCTACAGTCACGTTGTTAGATTCTCAAGAGAAGTTAGTCGGAATTGATTCTGCACTTGATCAACTACGCTCGTATTTAGCTCCCGAAGAAAATGATGTCCGCTTTATAGGGATATGGGGGATTGGCGGGGTAGGCAAAACAACCCTTGCTAACCTAGTTTATGAGAAAATTTCCCATAATTTCGAGCATTGCTGTTTTCTATATAATGTAAGAAAGAAGGAGCTTTCTGATCTACAAAGACAACTTCTTTCCCCACTTTTGAAGGGAAATCATATTTGGGATGAAAGGGAGGGAACCGTTTTCATTAATAAAGTTTTAAGGAATAAAAAGGTTCTTCTCGTACTTGATGATGTGGATCAATTACACCAACTAGAAGTACTGGCCAGAGATAAAATTTTGTTTGGTGTGGGGAGTAGAATTATCATCACAACTAGAGATAAACGTCTACTTGTTCAGCATGGTACAACAACCTATAAGGTCGAGGTCTTAAAGAATGATGATGCTCTTGAGCTCTTTAGTCAACATGCCTTTCAGAAAGATCAGCCTGAGGAAGGTTTTCAAGAACTGTCTCAGCATTTCCTATATTATGCCAACGGCCTTCCATTAGCTCTTAAAATTTTGGGGCGTGCTTTGTATGGGAGAGATCAAGATGCGTGGAAGAGTGCGTTGTATAATCTAAACAAAATTCCTGATCCAGATATTTTTGATTCACTCAAAGTAAGTTATTATGGACTAAAAGAGATGGAGAAGAAAATTTTTCTGCATGTTGCGTGTCTCCATAGATGGAGGGATAAAGATCAAGTAATTGAAATACTAGACTGTACCCTTGACATTTCCAGTCATATTGAGATAGATATTCTTATGGAGAAATCTCTCTTAACTATTGAGAAACGCCACTTCCATAGCCACATTGTTGAGATGCATGATTTGATACAAGAAATGGCATCGAAAATTGTTCGTGAAGAGTCTCCCGAGCCTGGTAAACGCAGTCTTTTGTGGCATCACAGAGACATTTCTCATGTATTCATGAACAATACGGTAAGAAGTTATTTAGAGATACTATATATACTTGGACCAAAATATGTGCCATTTTTCAAATGGGAAGTTATTTAGAGATATTAGACTTTAATGAGATGAGATGAATTAACTTCTTCCTTTTTCTTAATTATATTTATTAGGGAACGGGAGCAATTGAAGCCATAGTCCTACGTCTGCCCAGATTAGAAGCAGTGCCCTGGAATTGTACTGAAGCCTTCAATGAGATGCACGGGTTAAGGCTCCTTCACTTTGATAATGTGATGTTTTCTTCAGGCCCTAAATTTCTTCCAAATTCCTTAAGAATTATCCAGTGGAGTCGGTATCCTTCCAAATCGCTGCCATCAAGTTTTGAACCACATTTGCTTTCTAAACTAGAAATGAGGAATAGCAAACTTGTCCGGCTTTGGGATGGAGCAAAGGTAAGAGTCTTGAAATACGGCATTTTGTAATGTTTTTGAATTATAATTATATTGAGTATGATTGTATTGTACCTTGTTTTAACTTGCAAGGTTATAATTCTACAACTCTTATGTACTGGCAGGATTTTCCGAATTTGAAATATATGGATCTTAGTTACTCTGATAAATTGACCAATATCCCAGATTTCACACGCATTCCAAATCTTGAGAAATTGAATCTGAATGGTTGTAAGAAATTAGGTGAGGTTCACCCGTCTATTGCAGTCCACAAAAAGCTAAAGTGGTTAGAATTTTATGGATGTAAAAGTATTAAGAGTCTCCCAAGTAAGTTGGAAATGGATTCTCTTGAATGCTTTTCTCTTTCGGGCTGCTCAAAACTGAAAAAGATTCCAGAATTTGGGGAACATATCCAGAAATTGAAAAAGATTTATATACATAGGACTGCTATTGAGCAAATACCTTCATCAATTGAGCATCTGGTTGGCCTTCATTATCTATGTATAAGTGAATGCAAAAGTCTCTTGGGTCTCCCTAGTGCGATATGTAAATTGAAATCTCTTACAAGACTGGCTATGCCCAGATGCTCAAAAGTTGACAAACTCCCAGGGGAGATGGAGTGTTTAGAGGAGCTTGATTTAAGTGGAAGTGCTATGAGAGAGCCGCTTGTTGCTATGAAAAATCTCAAAATTCTATCCCTTAGTGGATCAGTTGCTTCAAGCGATGGCATTGGGTGGGGCATTGACCGCATATTTGGAATTAGAAAGAATCCTGACCGTGAGCGTTGGGGTTTGGTGTTGTCTTCTCTAAATCGTTTAGGGTCTTTGACGGAATTACATCTGAGTGATTGTAATATTGGTGAAGGAGCCATTCCAGATGATATCGGCTACTTGTCTTCTTTAAGAGAGTTGGATCTTAGTGGAAACAATTTCGTTAGCCTTCCCTCAAGCATTAGATTCCTTTCTAAGCTTCTGTATCTTCGACTGCAGAGGTGCAAAGGGCTTCAGCAATTGCCAGATCTTCCATCATTTGGCGTAAATGTGAACGACGGTACTTCCTTAAAAATGTTGGCAGATCCATCAAAGAGACCCTATTTACTGATATATGTTGACGATTGTACTTCCTTAAAAAGGCTGTCAGATCCATCAAAGTTGAGCGAAGGAGCCAATGTGTATGATTTTGACTTCAGTTGTCTTAATTGCTTCAGATTGGTTGAAGAAGAAGGCTGGATTAATAGAATGTTTGCAATGATAATGAGATTGGCTGCTGAGGTACACACACGCACTCTCTCACGTTGTACGAATATGTATATATACATTCGTGATTTTCTTTCTCTATAGTAAGTAAATATAATTGTAATTCTTTTTGTACAGGGAATCTATCCAATCTTTAATGATGCCTTTATTGTATGGCCTGCAAGTGAAATTCCAGAGTGGTTCAGTAATCAAAGTGTGGGAGATTCAATAACTGTGGAGTTGCCTCTACCTCCACCTCCACAATCATTGTTAGTACGAAAATCGTATTGTCATTTCCTAGACTTTAGTATAGGTTGAAAATTAGTTGTGAGGAATTGCGACTGGACGTTTTGGCACTACTCTTTCAACCCCATACATCCGAGGCATGACTTGACCGATATGAAAAACTTGACTTCAGGTAAATCATGACATAATCATGCATTCATGATAGGACTTATAGTTGAAGTTCTTTTTAGAGTCTTTGTGTTTGAAGTTAAAATATGAGCAGATTCCTAAGTGTTGTGCACTATGCGTATCTTCCAATTATCTTACTTTAAGAGTCAATTGGTTCCCTATTAAAAGTGGACGTTTGTTAAATTCATTAAGAGTCCATAATGAATCAGACTTTGTATTTTCATTGAATCAGAATTTATTGGATAATTGGTTGGCTCTTGTGTGGCGTCTCTTTAAGGAATTCATATTGCATCAGGTTTAAGAAGGCTTAGCTGATTTGGTCTTAGAGTCATACTTGCTTTGGAAGTGTAGTCTCGCAAGTTTCTCTCTTGTGAGAGAAACTTGCTTTGAATAAATGGATGTTTGTTTCCTTTCATTAGCAGCTTTTCAACGCATTAATTTTGAGAGCATATTGAATCTGTTTTTTGGAAAAGCTGCTGCACTTATTTCACTTGGTAAATCATCAAGGGTTTCTGTGACTTGGTGATTTATCGAATTCATTCATCATTCATATTGCATTCATATGCATGTCGGTGACTCATACGGTTGAGGGCACCAAGACCGTGGTGGCGGTTTTCCTCCGGTGAGCTTGAAGCAATCGTGGCCAGTATTGCGTTCAACATAAGGAGTGTCGAAGATCATCCCGTGACAGAAGTTGAGTTACGAAGAAGTCGGTAAACATTATCTAGAATGTGTCTAGGATAAGTGTGTGAGTACTTCTTGTAATCATCGTTCTATAGTGGATTTGTGTTGGACTGAGGAGTCCCGTGGATTTTCCCCAGAGGTGGGGTTTTACCACGTAAAATAATTCTCTGCGTGTTCTTTTATTTTATGCCCAGCACGTTACAGGATTGATAAGCCATATCAATCCTGCTACCGAAGTTTATTTTTATTTATTTGATTAGAATCTTAAATTGGCCTATTCACCCTCCTCTAGGCATTTTGAGTCATCCTGCAGGTATTTTAAATCATCATGTAGCAGCGACTGGCTTGGGATTGCTTTATGTGTTGGTTTTGAAGATTCTGAATATTTGGAAGATCCAGGCTATGATTTTTTGGAAATTCACCATTCGCGGGGACAGCGCGAGAGTTTAAAAGTCGGGCATCTTGGGTCACAACACCTTTGGGTTTCCTATTTGCCTCTCTATTGCCCCCGTCGCAGAAAAGCCTCAAGCAGTCAGCGGTTTTCATTCGAAGGGCGTTATGGTTCAAACGAATATTCAGGCAAAAAACTGAAAACAAGCTCGATTATAAAGAAATGTGGAGCCCGTTTGGTGTACCAGAGAGATTTGGAAGAATTCAGCCAAATACTGAAAATCCCAAAGCCAGTAGCGACTGGATTGAACCAATGGAGTTTCTTTCCTCTCCAATGTAATAAAAAAAAAAATTGCAAACAAACATAAACCAGACCAAAGTCAGTCACTTCGGTAGGAAAAGAAAAATGACACATCCCCCAAACCACGGAAGCTTTCCTTGAAATTTCCTTTTACTTTTTTGGTGGAAAACATTCGTCCTTCCACTTTGTAAAACACTTTTTACATTTTTCCTTTTTTTGTTTTTTGTTTTTTCACCTTGACCCTTATCCTGAGTACTGGACGTGTTGAGCTCTTTCTTGGGGAGTTCCTCATTTCTTCTTCGGTTTCTTGCCTTGACTTTTGAATCTCTTTTCTGTGTAAATTGTTTTGGCATCACACGTAATGTAAATTTCCTTTTTTCTCTTGAAAGTTTACATTTTATGGATTGTGCTATGAGGTTCATATCCATTCAACTCACTTTAATAGCCATTCAAATTATCCGTGGTTTCATTAGTGTTTGTTTGTATTGATTTGATTCAAAAAATTTATCATTTTACATGGTTTCATTAGTGAATTAAATTTTATCTTTTTATTGCTTTCGCAAACCGAAGAAAAAAAAAACTATTACTTGGAAGGTGGGTAGATAAATATATATATATATATATAAATCAACAAACTAAGAAAACAGCTTATATGAAAAACAAAATAAAATAAAATTATTGAATTATCATTTCTGGAAACAGAGAAGGAAGCTGTCTGTATATCAAGGGAAACAATTAAAGTGGACTGCTTCAAGATGTCATGTATATATCTTCCTCTCTAGAAAAATAAAACCAAAGTTGGGAACTTGCTAGGACCAGATCACTTCCCTCGGCATCAATAAGCTTA